GGGGAAATAAAAACGAAGGGGATGAGGTCAAAGGTCATTAGCTCCTGATGAAATACACAGCGCTGTAGTTGAGCGTGATCTTCTGCATGGACTGATCGTGAGGGAAGTTGGTCTACAGCTCATCTACAGGGTTTCAGTACTTACACATACAGTATAATTACAGTACATAGCAGCAGTACTTCAGATGAGAGAACGTTCATTATTCTATGTACAGTTATACACCCTCAAACTCATTACTGTTGAATTGATTTGTAGCCAAGTATGTACTGTATTTGTGCAGAACTGAGAGACGGCTGTCTAGGGCTGGCAGAGAAGTCTTGTGTCAGAAGACTTAGAAACTGCTGTAACAAATAAGGATAATACCAATACTGTGATGCAAATTGGCAGAGGATGCTGAATGAATGAATGAATTTATTTACAGTATTTATTTATTTATTCATTCATTATTTATTTCTGTGAAGTAACAGACAGTATATGCCAATGTGTGTTTACTGTATATTCAGTTGTTTGAACTTTTCTCTTAGTGCTTTTCATCTTCTGTAAGATCTCTTTACAGTAGTGCAATGACAGTAAACTTTTCTTACAGTTTAATGCTGAATTGTACTGTATCTGCAGTGCTCTATTTATGTCGTATACTGTAACAGACATTGACTAGCAAAAGGATTCCAGTTTCCCAAAAGCAGGTTGTAGTAACAGTGTTGAGTTGATCTCACTAGTGTTGTCTCGGCAGTGCAGTATGTGTGTATCTGACAGGTTTGTGTGTCATCTGAGGCCTAAGCTTGAGTCTGACTAAAGATCATATGTTTTTGACTAAACTATTTGATTTTGAGCTGGAAGTCTGAAGTTTGCACAAGTTGGTGTGTAGTTTTGAGATTGTGTTTATAGTTGTGAGCAAATGGTGAATTGTTTCATGAATTGTGTGTTAGGTATTGAGAAAAACTGTACTAGCAGTCAAGTGATTTACAGCATCACCTTTACTTCTATAGTGATTTATATAACACAGATTAAGAAAGACATTTCAGCTTTAAAGCAGCTCTATAGAAGACAAAACAGTCCAGGCTGTAAAATACTTAATTTTACAGTTTTTCTGAATTGCTAAAACACATTTCTTGAAACCATCACTCATTTTCTCAAAACCTTAAACACAAATCCAAATACTCAAACTAAATTCACGAAACCTCTGACTCTTCATCAAAATCAAACAATCACTGCAAAACCATTTCTCTTGCACTCAAAATCAACCGGTGCTCTCAGATCACACACACACACAAGTCAATAAAATAAACACTACAGAGCATTCATTAGACACTACAGAGAAAAATGGAGAACACAGCATCCAGAACATTACAGAAAAAAGTATATTGTATTGAGTAAACAATTTTGCAATTCTGTAAGAAAGTATAGTAATTGCAACTGAGTAAGGTGAATATATTGTATAGGCCTACTGTATGTACTGCAATTTGTGCTTGAGTCCGGCCTGAGGACTTTGTCCACATCACAAGTAATGTTGTCTTTTTTGCTAGACAAAGAGAAAAACCCCATCTAGCCTTGATAACACTCTCTAAACCGTCCTCTTTCTCTCCTCATCCTCCACTTCTTACATGTACTCTTCCTCCTCTCCTTCTCAGATTGTGTCCATCTATTGTTCGTCTCATCATTCAGTCACCTGTGCCACTTGTGCTCTCTGAACCGGCTCATATGTTGTACAGTTGGTTTGATCATATCAGTGCTTTATTCGACAGATTGGTTTAAACTAGTGAGAATTTGGTTCAGAGATTGGGGTTTAGTGTTTTAGCAATTCAGAAAAACTGTAAAAAGTAATTTTACTTGATTCATGTGTTTAACTATTATTTAGGGGGATTTTTACTTCATTCAAGTACAATTTAAACAGACTACTTGTACTTGTTACTTCATAACATTACATTTCTGGCTTCATATGTTCACCTTCAAATCTGAGGAAGCTAAGTTTATTTGTTATTTTTGTCTATTTTGAAAGTCATTAGCTGTCTATATTTGCCTGCATGGACAAGATTGAATGTGAACAAAATCAGTGATGAGAAGCTCATATGTTGTACAGTTGGTTTGATCACATCATTAGAAACAAGTGTGAACCGTTTTGACTCGTTGTGTGTAAACGATGACAACTGTGCTTTAGTTGAGTTTAGCATTTAGCAGCACAAATGCATCACAGTGTGAGAAGTGTTTGGAGAATTTATACAATTCATGTTTTGGTGACACTGATTGCTTTTTTTTTTTAAACAAATGTCACAAATCTTTAAAAAGTGTTTAACCCAACATTGTTTATTAAAGTAATTGTAATTCATGTTTAGTGATGTTCTTATCAGGAAGTAGATAAATCGTATTAAAATGATATATTGAGTAACATAGGATCGTAAATGTTTTTGAAGCGTTATTTTGTATTTTATGCACTGTGTGCTTAGTTTGTGTTCATCTGAAGAAAGGCATGTACGTTAGGGACGGCACGAGGGTAAAGGATGGATGTTTGTGTTGCATTGTGCTGCATTTTAATAGATGTCCTCGCACTAGATAGATGTTTAGACAGGTTTGACCTGTGCCATTGCATTTCATGTTTTCTCCCTTTAACCAAACCTTTGCATGTCTGACAAAAACATTTTATGCAGGTTTTTAAGTAATTTATCTTTGCATTGAGAAGATGGCTCAATATGATCAAACAAGAATCTCCTTTTTTTTTTGCTAGGTTATTTCTCCTTTTTAATACTCGAGTACAATTTAAAGTTGCACTTTGTTTTACTTTACGCAAGTATGTTTTTGTCCAGATACTTGTACTTTTGAGTACAATTTTCACTGAGAGTCTGTACTTTCACTAATTTTCCACCCCTGTTCACTTCTCATCCAGTATTATCAGTGCTATTTCTGAATATTACGCGTCTTTTAAACCCCAGCTAATCAAGCCAAAGGCGACAGTGGCAAGAAAACCAAACTCCATCATGAGACCGAAATGGAGAAAAACAAATGAATGAAAATGAATCACACCGAATGAACTCAACTCTAGAGGGAATAATAGAGCTGCTGCATTATTTCATTTACATCACTCTTACAAATCTGCACATTTTCAGCAGAAGTGTGTGACGCTGCATGTTTCTGATTTCTTTAGACAAGCGCTAAAGCTGATCTTTATGCCATCAGCAGCATCTTGACTTGAGACGTTGTGTTTCTGTAAAATGATTAGCTGTGCCTGTGGTCAGTCCATCTGGCCTGCAGCAGTCATCCGTCTTCTTCAGGCTGTCAGAGAGGCTTTTATTAGGCTGTGCCTTCATTCACACACTTCAGAAGAGCAGAGCTATTGTTTGACTGGACAGAAGAGGAAGAGGAGCACACCGTGGTCTTCACACCAGCGACTTTCCCAGTCGATACGCATTTAGAAAAATATATATTTCGGATTAGAGGATTTATAAAGAACTGACGTGAAAATTATCTTATTATATGTAAAGAACTAAAGAACGTGTGCAAAGTTTTTGCCACTAAAATACCATTAAGATAGTCTAATATTTATTAAAATGTAGACAACCACAACATACATTAATATTACTATATGTGCAAATGTGCAACTGCTTTTGTAATAATTACGTCACTGAAACTCATTAATGATGAAGATATTTTTGGGATATTTTTTGGCATTCTGCACTTTGTGCTTAAGATGAATTATGGTTTATAAAGCAGGATGCATTTGGGAGCATTTTCTGAGTAAACGGCGTGGATTTTAATAGAAATCCTTCACAGGAACCTTTCAGAATTAGTTTTGTGTTCACATTTAGGCTCATTCTATGCACGACTATAAATGAAGCCCGTGGTTCTTCTGAAAACGTCTTGATTTTCAGTTGTTTTAGCTCATGTTAATGCTGGTTTAGATCATCGTAAGTCTGGTTGGAGGGTTGCTGTCCGGACAGAGGGCCCTCGGGGCTCTAAGCGCTGCGGCTCTCGTCTGAAGCTCCTCTGCCGGGGACGAGGCGTCTCGACGGGACGATAGGTAGCCCTGCTCTCTCTCTTTTCTCCTCTCAATGAGGGACGGAGCTCAATTAGCATTTCACAAGTCCCTTTCTCCTTTTCTATCGCACCCTTCCCCGCGGAGCCGCTGCTTTCTGCGGGATTGTCCTGCTCCTGGCGCTGGTCTCCGTTGGCAGGGTGACAGTATTCGAGTGAGCAAACTCCTGCTATTGTCCTCCAGCCAGAGGGAGCCATGGAGACCCACTAATATGACACAGGAAAGTGTTTGCTGATGGCAATTCTATGGGCTTTGTCTAACTCTTTCTCTTTCATGACGACTCGATTTAAGTCTCCGAATGTTTGACTACAAATGTGAGAGTGCTCTCCGGCTCCTCCGCCTTTGTCCCGCGAGGTTTGAATGAGTAATTCAGCTTTTGTGTGGCTCGATTGAGGGGGCAAACAGAGAGACAAGATTCTTGAGCGCTCAAGCCCCCTCTCCATGGTTATGCGCACATCTCCTCCCCTGAACCCGCTCCTGACATCCCTGTAAGGCGAAGAGCGCAACTTCAGATCGTCTTCTGGAAGTGAGGTGAAGCGCGGCTTCAGGGCCACGGGGCCCTCGCTCCAAACTCCGTCAAATCACAAACAGACTGCAGCGAGCGCGGGATGATCAGGCCACCGTTTGTTTCCACTAAGAAATATTGCATCTGCTGCTATTTTCCCTCTCGGGGATTTCCATGACAACAGTGTGGGGTGGCAAAGAATCCGACACCGGGATCTCGGTGGCTCATTGGGGAGCATTGTGAGGAAAGTGAGGTCTCTGATTGGCTCAGGAAAGCACCATAACTACACCCAGTCTATAGCCATTCAGCTTCTTCGAGAGCTTGGGCTATTACAGAGCTGGACCTCACTCTGGCTTTGCTTCGCCAGGTCTGATGCGAAGCTGGAGTCAGTATTGCGACTGTAGACTCTAGAGCTGGAGGTCCGAGCTTCACAGGAGTGCGTGAGGATGTGCTGCTGAGGTCTGCGTGATGGCGAGCTCCGACAGCGAGGTCAAGACGCTCCTGAACTTCGTCAATCTGGCGTCGAGCGACATCAAGGCGGCGCTGGATCGATCCGCGCCCTGCAGGCGCTCCGTGGACCACCGCAAATACCTGCAGAAGCAGCTCAAGCGCTTCTCGCACCGCTACGCCAAGATGCCCCGCTGCCACTCGCACAGAAACGGCGACTCGGCGCCCGCTAAACTCTCCGAGGATCAAGCGCCGCCCGGGACCGGGACCGGGAGCGGGAGAGAGGAGCGTCTGAACGCGGAGGACGGAGCGCGGTCGGGACAGGGACAGGGACAGGGACAGGCTCCGATGCCGATGCGCAAGCGGCAGCTCCCGGCGTCCTTCTGGAAGGAGCCGCAGTCCTCATCCGGGAGCCGCGAGCGTCTGGAGCGCTTCCTTCAGAGCGGACACGTCAGACCGCCCGCGGTGAATGGCGAGAGAAGCACGACGGTGTTTGAAGACTTGAACGCAAACCCGCTGCTGTCCGGTCGCGCGGCGTGCGCGTGCTCGTGCTGCTCGCTCCCGTACCGCTTTCTGCTGCCTCACGCGGACGCGCCCCTCAGCAGCCGCGCGCATGTGGTCATCAAGCCGATCCCCACCAAACCCTCCTCTTCCTCATCTTCCTCCTCCTCCTCCGTGTTCAGCGTGTTCGGCTTCATTTAGACACTGTAGCGAACTCCCCTCTGTTTTAACCGATTACTGAATCAGCTGGATTTAATGAACACTCGCCTTTAAGCACTTAAAGTACAGATGTAGCAAGAATAAAGCACGCGTGTATTGACTTTTATGGGCTTTAGTGAGAAAGTGAAGACATTAGAATATCCATTTCAGAGTGTTTGTGTGAGCACAGCACAAACACTGTTCTCTGGAGAGCATCTGATAAACATGTCTCTGTCACAGCTCAAACATCCCTGAAACAGCATCATTCACTGAGGTAGAGAGTATTTATTATTGTGTTAGTCCAGTTAGAGATGTTTTCACACTAAAAACCTGACTGTAATCCATTAGCTGATTAAAACTGCTACTGATTGACTGTTTTACACTGTCTGTTAATTAAAGATCCGACACTCGAAGCAGCACATTTATTCTGATAACCACCATCATACTCAGTATTTTCAGATCAACTACATAGAACTGTGTATCAAGCACAAACATAATACTTTAAAAAACCTCAAGATAAATTAAGAGTTATAAATACACAAAACGATCATCCCGTTTCACTCTCCCTTCAGTGATGATGATGATGATGATGGTGGTGGTGGTGGTGGTCCCTGTGCTGAGCGCAGCGCCTGCTTCTGGAGCTCAGGTACCACAGCATGGGGCCCGGCAGCGGCAGCGACTCCACACACCTCAGTCTCTGCGGCCCCAGCTGCTCTCGGATCCTCAGCCCACAGAGATGCATCAGGCCTCGAGGAGACGCTGTAAACACAAACATCACATCGATCCTGCTCAGCATGCACAACGACAACAACACTGCTCTGCAGCTGACCACGAGGAGCTTGTGTTCAAGTCTGTGCAACTCCAGTTTCTAGATGACTGACAAGCTAATAGATAAACAGATCTTATGAAAAGTAAATAAGTTCCTAAATAAAAATAAAAATAAAAATCCTTTTTTGAAATTGTCTTCGGTGTACAAAAAGCACGAAAGATCAACATCATGTAAATGATAAATGTGTGACTGTTTCTTTAAATAGTTGAGCTGTTCAGCGGTCAGGCAAACGATCATAGCATGATCATCCCAGCATCTGTGCAGCTCTACTGCGGTTTTACTGGCAAATGTGCTGTGGTTCATAATGCACTCACATGTTTTCTCCTTAATGCTCGTCCACTCCGGTTGGTCCAGAAGGAGATCCCTGATCCTGCTGCAGAGCTGAACGTTTCCTACATAGTCCAGCAGCAGATCAGTGACCCGACCGGCTGAGTGTCTCCAGCAGGAGGACGAGATCCAGTCACAGAACTGAAAGAGAACAGAGAACTTCAGATTCGGCACAGTCAGGACCTAACACACACCATGAGGCTACAGAGAATGGCTATTCATTGGTCAAGAATACCTCCCGACACTGAATCATCACCTTTAACTCTGGTTTAGTGGCGTTCGTGTTCACCGTGTGGCTTCTGAAGTGTGTGTGCTCTCCGCTGTGATGTCTGCTGCAGGTGAAGCAGGCCCGAGCGTCACAGCCGTGGTCCAGTAGATACTGCAGGACGTCCAGCTGATGCGTGTACAGCAGCACTGCGGGGAAACCTGCGGTCGGGCGAGCGTTCACATGGGCTCCGTGCTCCAGCAGCAGCGCCACAGTCTCCAGACAGCCGTCACGCACCGCTAACAGCAGCGGGCTGAAGGGGTCCATGTTGGGATTCGCACCGGCCTTCAGCAGAACAGCAGCGGCCCATGTGTTCCTGGCGGCGACGGCGCAGTACAGAGCCGAAACTCGCCGGTCCTGGAACCTGGCTGAGCACTCCTGAGAGAGTTTGCTGTTGACATCAAACCCCGACTCAATCAGCAGACTCATGATGATCCTGCGGTCGTGCTCCGCTGCCAGATGGAGGGGAGAGATGCCGCTCTGCCGAATCCTCACCCGGCTGCTGATCGGGAGCAATAATGAAACAATCCTGGGAAAGACAGCATTTTAGAGCTTAAGCATACAAATCAATGATTCATTAAATCATCAAGACAATATCAAACTTTTTCAAGGAATAGTTCACCAAAAAAAAAAAGTAGATTAGGATGAGTTTGTTTGTTCATCAGGTTTGTAGAAATGTAGCACTGCATCAGTGTCTCAGCAATGGATGCTCTGCAGTGAATGGGTGCCGTCAGAATGAGAGTCCAAACAGCTGATAAAAACATCACAATAATCCACAAGTAATCCACAGCACTCCAGTCCATCAGTTAACATCTGGAGAAGACAAAAGCTGAAACTAATCCATATTTGTTTAGAGCTGTTTTGGTTTGATTTGTGCAGATTTCTCTCCTGATTCAGACCAGAACACTTTTTCACTGGAGGAAGCATTATTATAGACTCAATGGTATTTTAGTTAAAAACGTCTTAATGCTGGATTAGTTTCAGCTTTTGTCTTCTCCAGATGTTAACTGATGGACTGGAGTGCTGTGGATTACTTGTGGATTATTGTGATGTTTTTATCAGCTCTCATTCTGACGGCACCCATTCACTGTCTTAATGCTGGATTAGTTTCAGCTTTTGTCTTCTCCAGATGTTAACTGATGGACTGGAGTGGATTACTTGTGGATTATTGTGATGTTTTTATCAGCTGTTTGGACTCTCATTCTGACGGCACCCATTCACTGCAGAGCATCCATTGCTGAGACACTGATGCAATGCTGCATTTCTCCAAATCTGATGAAGAAACAAACTCATCCTGATCTGGGATGAACTGAGGGTGAGCACATCTTCATTGAGTTCTCATGTTCGTGTGAGCTGTTGGTGTAAAGCACAGCTGGGAGTTACAGTAATCACGTGGTCAGCTGTAGTGGCTGTGTTTGGACTCCAGCTGTTGAGCTCTCGTCACGTGTGTCAGAGACGGCAGGCGCAGCTGTTGTACAGCACATGACATCTGCTACAGGACACAGATCACTGCTGTAGTTCTCTAGATTGGACTGAATTCTTACTCGTTGTGTCCGTGCTGGCTGGCGATATGCAGAGGCAGAAGTCCGGCATTGGTGGCTTTGTTGGCGTCAGCGTGATGTTTGAGCAGAAGCTTCACAGTTTCTGTGTGACCATGTCTGCAGGCTTGGGTTAAAGCTGTGTTCCCGTCACACGTCTGAGCGTTCACACCAGCACCTGACGGGACAAGCACAACATTCTAGTGTTTCTACTCTTTTGGTTTCAGAAGCCATCCCTCAATATTTTGAAATAAATGTCTTATAAACACAAATTATTTCCTGTTCTGTGTTTTATATCTACTGCCATAGCGACTCACTGGTCTAATTAGTTTATACTAAGTCTTTGTTTTTAGTTATATTCATGTCAGGGTAAAATATTAATTTTAACTTAAATTTAAAAACTCAGACTTAAACCATATTGATAGATCAAACGGATCATAAACTCTGGCTAATCACACCGAGCCTAATATCTGAAGGAATCACACCGATGGCTCTGTCTGGCATATCTGATGGAGTATTATTGTGGTTTAGTAAATGTTTCCTCACAGCTTACTCAATTTGTAAAAAATAACTAACCTGTAGAGGGAAAACAGACATTTGACATGTTTAGAACTAGCTATTGTTAGAGAATAGTTTATAACACAGCTCTCACTACAAAAACACAGAGTTTGTGCTGAAGCTTTTAGAAACAGTCACAGGACACCCACGTGAAGTGCCTAATGCTACTGACATTAACAGAAGATCTCAAAATGATTGCATGTCAGGGAGAATCCCAGTCTATAGCCTCAAGCGGCCTGCTAGTAAACCCGGCGCTCAGTACCGCTCTGGATCAGGTACACCAGCGCTCCTGTGTGTCCGTGTCGAGCCGCCTCTATCGCGGGTGTGATGTGGTCAGTGTTGCGGGCGTCTACAGCGGCTCCGGCCCTCAGGAGCGTCTCACAGAGCTCAGTGTTGTCTTGTCTCGCTGCTTCATGCAGCGCGGTCCAGCCGCGATAACAGCGCTGATTCACCGCCGCGCCGGACGCCAGCAGCAGCTTCACCACGCTGATGCTCTCCTGCTCACACGCTAAACACCACCACACACAGAGAAGACGGAGGTTTAAAACACTTACTCAACTCAGCTGGATAATGACTGACTTGAATCAACATTGAACTGACTTGAGCCTTAAAGGAACAGTTCACCCAAACATGGACATTAGCTGAAGATGTGTTCACCCTCAGTCCATCCGAGATCAGGATGAGTTTGTTTCTTCATCAGGTTTGTAGAAATGCAGCATTGCATCAGTGTCTCAGCAATGGATGCTCTGCAGTGAATGGGTGCCGTCAGAATGAGAGTCCAAACAGCTGATAAAAACATCACAATAATCCACAAGTAATCCACACCACTCCAGTCCATCAGTGAACATCTGGAGAAAACAAAAGCTGAAACTAATCCATATTTGTTTAGAGCTGTTTTGGCTTGATTTGTGCAGATTTCTCTCCTGATTCAGACTAAGAGTTATTATGGATTATAGACTCTATGGTATTTTAGTTAAAAAGGTCTTAATGCTGGATTTGTTTCAGCTTTTGTCTTCTCCAGATGTTAACTGATGACTGGAGTGCTGTGGATTACTTGTAGATTATTGTGATGTTTTTATCAGCTGTTTGGACTCTCATTCTGACGGCACCCATTCACTGCAGAGCATCCATTGCTGAGACACTGATGCAGTGCTGCATTTCTACAAACCTGATGAAGAAAAACTCATCCTGATCTGGGATGAACTGAGAGTGAGCACATTTACAGCTCATTTTTATTTGACATTGTTCTTGAACTAAATGGAGGTGAATATTAACAGTATTGTTTTACCTTTATAAAGAGGCGTCTCTTTGTTCTTGTTGCTGATATCAGGGTCGGCTCCTGCTTCCAGAAGACTCCTCACACACTCCAGGTGTCCTCCGTGAACGGCGAGCATCAGCGGCGTCTGCTCCTGTAGCGTGCGTTTGTCCACACACACGCCAGGATCTGTGTCACACAACACGTGAACACGCTTCATCAGCACACGCTGCTAGATCACTGCAATGAC